ATACATATGACAACATGGTTGGGTCTCAGAATAGTTATGCTGAGGGAAAGAAGCCATCCCCCCAACCAAAAAAAAGTGCATATTGTATGATTCCATTTATATGTAATTCTAGAAAATGCAAACTAATCTATAGTGACAGAAAGCAAATCAGTGGTTGCCAAGGGATGGGGTGAATTTGGGAAAGGGTATGGGACAGAGGGATTACAGAGGGGCACCAGGAAGCTTGGGTGGTGATGGATATGTTCATTGTCTGGTTTATGAGCGTGGTGTGTGGGTACCAACATTTGCCAAAACTTAACAGTTTGTATATTTGAATATGTGCAGTTAATTGTGTGTCAATTATAATGAAATAAGGCTGTTAAAATTTTTGCTCCAAAATGTTCTTTAACAGTGAAATTAGTTCTGGGCGACTAATACAGAGTGAGAAGTAAAAGTGGTGAGACATGAGGCAGGAGAGAAAAGGCAGGAAGCTGATAGGGGTAGAGCCTAGCCCTCATCCTGACGGTAATGGCCAGACACTGAAGACTTTTGAGCAGTCTAAAGACATAATTCAGTGTGCCTTTTTGACAGATTGCTCTCGTTTTAGACTGGAGAATTGTTTGTTAGAGTGCAAGACCAGAAGTGGGGAGACATTTAGGAAGTTGTCATAGTAATCTTGGTGAGTGATGTTGGTGGCCCCAACTAGCATGATGCAGTGAATGGATTTCAGAGAATAAAAATCTTCATGGCCTCAGTGTGTTTAATTGCTGATGGCACCGAGCCAGTCTAGGGGGAGAGTTCGATGATACAGGAAGGGGGGGTCCAGAGTACTGAAGGAGGAATTACCTTTAGAAATGAGGGGATGTATTTCTTCCAATTTACTAGCAGGAGGAGGGAGGAGTTGGGTACAGATACAGTCATGTTTGTAGTGGGTGACAGGAAGTTGAGAGGCCTTCCATCTCCTTGTGGCTTCTGTTTTTCACAGTGGAGAAAGCAGAGTCATTTATTGAGAATGAGTGAAGAGTGGCAGGGCAAGGGATTTGAGGGAGAGCAGAGATTGTGCGTACTTATTGTAGAGAGTGAAAGAAAACCCTTTAGGGACATAAGAATAATTACTTAGTGGCATTGAAGCCCCTGATGAGAATGACTGTCGCAAAATTATAGTGGCGCAAATTAAAGTTCTGTAGTTTTGTTGGTCAGCAGTTGGGTACCCAGGTGGAGACAAGGAGAAAACGGGCAGTTGGATTGATCCGGGAGTAGGGCTTTCTCAGGCAAATGTGATGAAAGGACAAGGGGCAAGAAATGTACCGATTGGAGGGTGCAGTTGAAATGGTAGACTACACTGAAGGGCAAGGACAGGGAGTTGGGGTCGATTCAACATGCTGCAGCTTTGTAGATTCTTCCTCTCGAATCCTCTGCATTACGTGGGTTGGAGCCACCCTCATATCTCGCCACCATTGCAAGAGCTTCCTGATTGTCCCTCTGCCTCCAGTCTTAAATGTAGGATATGAGGGTGGTGGCTGACATGTAAAATGCCATTTATTGGTGTTGAGCAGGCTGGGGAGCGGAGAGGCTGACACAGTAGATACATCCTATGGAGGACAGGTGGACTCAGCACCCAGAGGGAACCCTACAGGAGCTGCTTGACTTAATCTTGAGTTTTGCAAAGGAAGAGTTCTATCACTTTCTGACAAGACCTTGTTCGCTGCTGGCATCTATATGTCACTTCTCTCTGTTCCTAATGCTTTCTGAATTGTTCTGTGAAGAAATCTGTGGCCATCTTAATTCCCCCTTTCCTGGTAAGGGATGTATGTACCCTACCTGCTAGGAAGCGTAACTAATTCTGGGCACTCAGCCAGTTTTTCTGAATAATTTCCCCCCGTGAATAGCCAGTGTCCATTTCATCTTCAGATTCAGCTCTTTCATTCACTTAAGGGAAACTTGCTTTTATATCTGAAATAATTTTCTTACTCTATTCTCTTTATTGGAGTCGAAGATACCAATTATCTTCAGGTTGGCTCATCTTTGTTTCCTATACCTATGCTTTTATTCTCTAATGGCTTTAGCTACATTGTCCTGGTTTCTCTCCCTTCTTTATGATTATCATGGGCCTTTTCTCTATGGCATTGATTTGATTTGGAGCCATATCTATTCTTTTCCCTGCTAGTTGATTTCTTAGAGCCATAATGGCATTGTTTCAGTCCTCAAATCATTTCCACCAATAATTAGGTCCCAAATTATTTCAATTCTGTGGTCTCTCATTTCCATTCATTCTATTCTTTTATCGTCTTATCTTTGAACTTTAAAAAAGGAATTGCTATTCTTATTACTTTACCATTATGTAACCATAGTCCTTTTTTTGTTCCTTGGCTGCTAGTTTTCTCAGTTTATGGCATGAATCTGTTCCTTTCTTTGCTTGTTTGGTTTCTGCAGGTGAATTTTAGCAATAATTTTTGACTGATTATTTGTTCATTGTTCATAGGCTTTGGAGATGAACAATTCCGTGATAATGCCTTAAATCCAGCATCTTAACCAAGAATTCAAATCCATAGCAAGATTTTTATAAATACTCTTAACTGAGTGATTTTCTCATCATGGCCCTTTGATGTTACCCTCACATGTTTTTATGATGATAGCAGTTTAGTGGAAAACCAGAATCACTGGCTATATCTGTGCATATCTAGTATAATTTTATCATGTTTATAAATTGGTCATAAATTACTGTTTGTTGCCAGGAGGAACCTGATCATCCTTTATTCCCTTCTTCTGACTACCGTAAAAACTACAATAATGTAGATTTCAGGATGTCCTCAGTTACCACATGAATCTTTATTTACCAACTAATGACATTTTTTAGTCTTTTTTTTTTTTTTTTTTTTTTTTGCCAGTGTAAGGATGTTAGTTATGCATTGGTGAGAAGGCCACTTGATAGGTGGTATTTCTGCTTTCCTGAGTAAAGTTAACCTCCCTGGAGCAGTCTTCTAAGTACCAAGTGTGATTGTCTGAACCAGGACATTTTACAAGCAGACCCATCCCAGACTCCACCAACCATTTAACATGGCTTTCTTGCTCTGTTGGCCTGTTTTATACTGAATAGAAGGAAGGGATGCATTAAAATGGGATTTTTATTTGACATCGCTGGTTGAAACTTTAAAATTCTATAGTGTTGCCCAAAGTTTTAATAGATGTGACCCACTTAAAGTAAACACCTGTCATTATGTCTGTGATTTTTTTTAATCTTTTTCATTGGTGCGTGCATTATCTGGAAAAATCACTTCCTTTTTCTGATTACAACAGAGTTAAAATGCCTTATACCACAATAACAAAACAGGTAGAGTGGACAGCTGGTTTTCACTGTTTTTCTATTAGTTTATCACTTACTGGACCTCCTGAAATCCTGTTATGTAAACTTTGATCTTTTTTTGTTTTGTTTTATTTTGCACATGAGTATGTTTAAAAAATTCAGACTGCTGAAAAACACAGGGGCCACTGTGAATAATCTTTATCTGGTCTCAGATTTCCCTTTAATTATTTGAAAAGGAATTGAAACTCCTTTTCCTTCTGTTCTTCCCTTCTTCCATAATCCCCTTTGGCTGTTTGACCTCAGCTGGGGAACTCTACAAGGTTTTCCTCTCCCTCCCTCTGCCAAGGGGATGGAAGCAGAGAGGGCCAGAAGGTAAAGTAATTTGAGTACAGTTTCACATGTAATAATCCCTTCAAACTGTATGAGGTATAGGGTTCATTCTATCCTTCTTGGCATCAGGAAATAGGCCCAGGGAAGTTGAGTAGCTTGGTTAGTTTGTTTGATTCCAAAGCCTCTCCTTTTCTTCATAAAGTAGAAATTCATTCAAGGGGGAAATCTGGTTTGGGAACCATGGGCAATGCAGTGCAATGGTGGTTAAAAGCTGGTCTTTTGAGTCAGAAAGACTTATTAGGAGGAAATTACTTAACTTCCTTGTGAGTTGATTTCATCTATAAAATAGAGTAGTGAGCCCTTTGTTGCTGTTATTGGGGCCAGAGTTAGTGCTCATAGCGCTTACCACAAAATACTAATTCATTAAATGACAGCTTAAAAAATATCTAATATGAGAGCAGGTCCAGAAGCAAGGCTGACTTAGTAACTTCACTGGGAGCTCTGGATCCTGGTCAACCAGTTGGTTCAAGCTGACTGCAGTTGGATGGACTCTGTCCAGAGTAACCACTCTGTTGAGGTATCTGACTCCCAAATAGCGATTCACAGCTGTTGAAAGAAGTGTTGAAGTAGGAGTCCCATGAATGTTAGGGTCGGGATGTGTTGATTCCATGAGGAACACGACATAGATACACATTTCTTTAAATCTGATGCCATATTGATATTGTTCTAGCCAAAGAACACGTGGGTAGCTGAGATTAGCTCAAGTAAAAAGAGTTGATTGAAAGCTGTGGGGCACTGGATGGAACATAAGGGCAGGAGTATGGCTGGGCCTCCTTGGAACCAGAAAACTTTCAGAAACTGAATGTGGTAACTTCATCTTTAAGTGTCTCTCTAATTTCTGGTTCTCTTTTCACAATGTTCTATTAACACAGTACAGTGCTCACATACTTTAGTTTTGTGAGTATATTTGAATTGCTGCTGGAAACCCAGTGGCTCTGGTGACCATCTTGGCCCATGTTGGTAGAGTCATTTGTACTAAGTGTGGCCACGAAGGCCTACCTTTTTAGCAGAAGATACAGATTTGTAGAGAATGAGCCTGTAGGGAAGAACAGATGCTGGAAGATTGTCTGTCACTCATATTTTTTATAAAAGAAAGAAAGGTCTGGAAATGAGTTGTCTGTTTTTTTAAAGCCCGGTAGCCCAGTTCCCCAAGCTGAAACTTCTGGCATTATTGAATGGCAGAATGCTTAAATGGCATGCCAACTGTTTTATGGGAAAATAATTCTCTTTAAAGTTAATCTTGCAAGCCTAAATTTGTAAGTTTGCTGTTGTCACTTTCTAATAAATGTGGAATGTTAATCTTTATCTTCTTTTGGTTTTCTTCCAGAGATATGAAGACTATGGAATGACTCCCCCATCAGGCCCATTGCCAAGGTAAAGTTTTCAAGAGAAAATGCATTAGAACTTCCTCACCTAGGCTGTTTTTAAAAATTTTGTAAACTCACTTCTTTGAGCTAATATTTAGAGCAGATGATGTGTGTTGTCTTGGGCTAATCTGAAGAGGAGAAAAAAGGTGGAATTTAAGGTCTGCTTCCAGTAATGACAGACTAGATAATTTGCTGAGGGCAATTGGAAAAGCTAGACAAGATGTAAAAATAAAACAAAACCAAACCCAGATAGCTAATAGGACAGTGAAGTGCTATGGGGCCAAGATCCAGGAAATCCAGAGAGATGAGCCCTGCCTCTTGGGCAGACTTTCTCCCAGGGGCACCTGCTAATTCCAGAGGAGGTGACTGAGAAGCTGAGCAAAACTTTGGACAGACTCATGGAGCTCGGAGTCTTGAAAATTCAACATAGTGAAAGTTATGGGATAACACCTCAAGGCATGCCTAGGGAGGACTTTGATGCCTTAGATGAATCCAAATATATTTGAAAAGAAAAATGGCTGAAAACCAGTGATCTAAGCATCCATCTCAATGTTTAAAAAAAAACATCTAATTAAACCTAAGGGAAGTAGAAGGAAGGAAATGATAAAAATAATAGAAATTAATGAAATAGGGGCACCTGGGTGGCTCAGTCAGTTCAGTGTCTGCCTTCGGCTCAGGTCATGATCCCAGGGTCCTGGGATGGAACCTCGTGTTGGGCTCTCTGCTCAGCAGGGGAGTCTGCTTCTCCCTCTCCCTCTCCCCCTGTTTGTGCTCTCTCTCTCTCTCTCGCTCAGTCTTTCTCAAATAGATAAAATCTTAAAAAGAAATAAAATAAATAAAAAGAAAGTATTGAAATAGAAAAACAAATAGCATAATAGAGAAGATTGACAAAGCTAGACGTTGGTTCTTTGAAAAAAGCTAATAAAAGTGATCAATCCCTGGAGAGCTTGATCAAGTAAGCTGTGTATCGTTATCAATAAGAGGAATGTAAAAGGACACATTAATCCAGATCTTTCAGAAACAAAAAAGATTTTGACAGATTTTTAAAAGGCTGATTTTTAAAAGATTTTACAGATACTAAGGAGATTTTATGAACACATTTTTGTGAAATTTAAAATGGAAAGTGGCTCAGTTAAGCGTCTGCCTTTGGCTCAGGTCATGATCCCAGGGTCCCTCGTCAGGGAGTCTGTTTCTCCCTCTACCCCTACCCCCTGCTTGTGCTCACTCTCTCATGCTCTCTCTCGAGTTCTGTCTCTCTCTCAAGTAAATAAATAAAATCTTAAAAAAAAAATTTAAATGGAAAAATTCTGGGACACGTGGCTGGCTCAGTCAGTGAGCATGTGACCCTTGATCTCGGGGTTGTGAATTTGAGCCCCATGTTGGGGGTAGAGTTTATCAAGAAATAAATTAAATTGATTTTTTTTTTTTAAATAAGATGGATGGAAGAATTCCTAGAAAGAGAAAACCTGAATTGTCATATAACTATTAAAAAAATTGAAATCATTCCTAAAATTCTTCCCACAAAGAAAACTTTGGGCTTCAATGGTGAATTCTGCCAAAAACACCAAAGGAAAAAGACGTGCCAGTGTTCTACAAATTTATCTAAAGAATATAAAAACAGAATGCTCCCCACCTCATTCTTTGAGACTGCATAACCTTTTTTTTTTTTTTCTGGCAAAGACAGAGAGAGAGAGAGAGAGAGAGAGAGAGAGAGACAGAGCACAAGCAGGGGGAGGGGCAGGCAGAGGCAGAGGAAGAAGCAGGCTTCCTGCTGAGCAGAGAGCCTGATGCAAGGCTTGATCCCAGGGTGCTGGGATCAGGACCTGAGCCAAAGGCAGACACTTAACTGACTGAGTCATCCAGGTGCCCCAAGACTGCATATCCTTGATATCAAGAATGACAAGGACAGGGAAATTGCAGGAAAGAAAGCATTAAGGGTTCATGCGTTATACTCATGAACATAGATGCAGAAACTTGAAACTAAATATTAGCAAACATACCCAGCATTGTATTCGAGAGGGTATCATATCACAGCCAACCTGGGTTTATTCCAACAATACAAGGGTAATTTAACATTTTGAAAAATCAAGCAATCCAATTCACTACTTTGAGGAGAATAAATGAGGGAAATCTCATTTCACTAAATACAGCATTTGATAAAATTCAACATCCATTCATGGTAAAGATCTTAGCAAACAAAGAATAGAAGTGAACTTGTCTAATCTGATAACAGTTATCTCAGCAAATATGAATTAAGTTTGAAATGTTAAAAGCTCTCCTTTTGAGAATAGGAGCAAGACAAGACAAAGATAGCTGCTTCCATTACCTCTAGTCGGCATTGTCCTGGGGGTCTAGATGGTGTAGTGAAGCAAAAAAAAAAAAAAAAAAAAAGAAACAAAAATATTAAGGAATTCAAGGAAAGAAATAATACTGTTATTATTCTCAAATGATATATTTTTTAAGTAGAAAATCCTCAAATGTCAACACATAAGTTAGAACTAAGAGAATTTAGCAAGATAGATAAATTACAAAATAGCTGGATATAAGATCAGCATACAAAAATCTGTTTTATTTCTGTTTATGAGCAACAGACAAAATATACTGTACAAAATAGCATTAAAAATGTAAAGCGTCTCAGATTTAATCTCACTAGATAGTCAGGTCGTCTAAAGAAAGCGTTCATGGATTGGGCAACTCAGTATATTTAAAATATCGGTCCTCCCGTAAGTGATCTACAGATGCATTGTGATCCCTTTCAAAATCCTGGTAGTTTGTGGTCTTTAAAAAAATATGTGGAAACTGACAAGCTGATTTTAAAACTTATATGGAAATGCAAAGGCCCAACAATATTCAAGACACTTTGAGAAAAAGAATAGTGTGTGAGGACTATTCCAAAGGTTGTAAATTACTGTAAGGTAATGAAGACAGTGTGGTATCACTGTAAAGCTAGACAAATAGACCAGAGGAACAGAATAGAGAGTCCATAAGCAAATGATTTATTACAAAGAAGGAATTGCCAGAGTTAATCTCAGAAATCATACTCAACTATCTTTTCAATGACCACAAGTCACACAGAAGTAGGAATGTTATCTGCTTCCTCATTTTTTCTGTTTTTCTCTTTGCCCTCATTTTCAGAGGGGCTTGTTTTATTTTTCCCCACCCCCCCCCCCAACCCAGGCACTGCTTCATCGTCCAAAAGCAACAAAGGTAAAGAGAGCGCGTGAAGATTAGGTGATCTGGGGCAGAAGTTAATGATGGGGGGGTGGTGGGCATCTGATCTGGTTTGCCCAGTTCAGTTCACACCTGTTTTCTAGTGTAATTATTAATAACTTTGACTCTCAAAAGTGTTCTGGTTTGGATGACCAATTTTGTGGTTACTCAAGTTAAAGGATTCTGGGCGATTTGGATCACACTGTACTGTGAACACACAAATTGAGGATAAAAAGGACACACATGTAGCCAGGAGGAGGGTAATTGGGTAAAGTAGAAGTAAGTAAAGGGTAAGAGCTAGTTGTTGGGTGGATGGTCAAGAGATTATGATTTAATTAGGTGAACTCCAATATACAGATGTTGAAGGAGGAGCATGCCTTATGTTACGCTCTCAGATCTGTAAGGTCAGAGATATCAGACATCTCTCTGTGAGGTCAATCTAAAACAGTAACAATTATCTAAAGAGAGCAATATAAGTAGCCTGGGTTTCAATTTACGAGTTGTGCTCCAGAAAGAAGACAACAGAATAGGGGCAAGTCAGTCTATGTTCTCGTCAAACTAATTTGATTTGTTAATTCCTGGTTGTCATTTGCAAAGAACTGTTATTCTTGAGTTTCTTTAGAAGAGTGTTTCTCAAGGTGGAATTCTCAGACCCCTAGAGAGAGGGTCCTTGAGACCCTTTTGGGGAGGGGTGTCTATGAAGTCAAAACTGTATTTCGTAATAATACTAAAGCATTATTTGACTTTTTTTGGGGGGGCTGATGCCTACACTGAGGGGCAGAAGCAGTGGTGGATGAAACTGCTGGAATCTTAGCATGAAACAAGGCAGAGGCACCAGATGGCCTGGGTAGTCCTCATATTCTTCACCACCATGCAATCAGATTTTTAAAAATGCCAGTTTGTTAGTTATGTTAGCATGTCCTCAGTGAAGTAGTACAAATTATTAATTTCATTAAAAGTAAACCCTTGAGTCTTTAATCATCTGTAGGACAAAAGAGGAAGTACATATAAAGCGCTTTGTGGAGTATGGAATTTTGAAGGAAAAGCTCCTGTTCAGTTGTTTGTGTTGAGAACTGATCTGTACTGCTGCTATGTTTTCTCTTTGAGTGATCAATTGGCAGACATCGTTATTCAGACTTGGATTCCTTGGCAGACATTGTCTTGAAAATAAAGGAAGTGAGCCTGTCACTTCCAGAAAAATAACTGACAGGATTTCTTGCCACTGATAAAACTGAGCTTTCAAGTGAAAATTTGAATTTTGTCTGCCACTGGGTGCTTCACAACTTCCTAGTACTTAAAAGACTTTTCTGATGAGCTCAATGGTGATATTAATAATGTGATTTTTTTTGATACTACCAAATGAAATGTATCAATATCTAAAAAGTCTGCAAAACTCAGTAGACTCATATTTTCCAAATGACTTATGTCATAAAATCATGCATGGGTCCATTCAAAGTATAAAATAGACTAGTGGGATTTCTGTAACAGAGTATATAAAGTTAATTGATACTGTTTCAGATTCCATATTGCCACTAACCCTTAAGGAAACTTTGCTGAGTTTTGGTGTATCAAAGAAGAATATTTTTCTGAAATATTATTTGAGTATCATCTGAAAAGGCAATTAAAGTCTTCCTTATCCAACTATACATTTATGTGAGTTCAGATTTTCTTCTTAAAATAACTGAACAGCAACTGATTGAATACAAGGTATATGAGAATCCAGATGTCTTCTATTAAGGAAATTTGAAAAAATGTAAAACTCTTCTCACTACTTTTTGGGGAGGGAGGGGTTAGATAATATAGTTGATTTCATGAGAAAATGTTAACAGGTAAGATGCTTAATATTATTTTTAAATTAATTTTAAACATACGTATTTAAAAATGTTTTCGTTTTAATTCTGCATGCAAGAAATATCTATAGATATAATCCACATACACAGAAGTTCTCAGGAGTCCTCAGTAATTTATGAGTGTAAAGGCGTCCTGAGACCAAAAGGTTTGAGAACCTCCGCTTTAGAGCACTGATTTTCAGCCTTGATGAGTATCAGGATCATCAGTGGAACTCTGAACTGCCATATCTGGGTCCCACCTCTAGAGATCCTGTGTTCATAGGTCTGGGGTGCAGCATGGACATCGGGGTTTTTTAAAAGTTGCTCACCGGCAGCCGAGGTTGGGAGCCACCACTTCAGTCCGATGCTGGAGGTGCACAGGCCCTGGAATTCTACCTGCACCTTCATGTAGTCTGTAAACTAAGGCGTTTCTTCTTCACTCATCTGGCAGAGATTTATCAAGCATCAGCTATACTCCAAGCACCGTTCTTAGTGCTGGAGATATGCCAGTGAGCAAACAGAAAACGCCTCTGCCCTTAGGGAGCTCGAGTTCTAGGAGAGGAGATGTATAGACCAATAGACAAAGAGGTCTTATTTTTCTGTAGGGCTGAAAGTGGAACTAATAAAATTCCAGAGCCAGGGAAAAGTGTGGTCCTGATGCTTGGGCTTGCTTTGCCTTCAGACCAGGTTTTGGCCCCGGTTTGCTGCAGGCTTCGGAGCTGGTGCCCCCAGAGCTCCAGCAGCCACAGGCATCGGCTGAAGCCCCGGTCACTGCCCGAGGGATCTACTCGGAGGACATGCCATCGGTGGCCCGGCCACGGCCTGTCGGGGGCACCACAGGTACACGTGGCTGTTTAGCTTGCATTTCTGAGCTAGACAGCCCTTGCTTTTGGCTACATTCTGGAAGAGGACATTTCAGACTTCCCAGCGCTTTGGTGTCCCAGTATTCGGTGACCTGCACAACTGGTCTGAGCGGCGTTCCCCTGGTTCCTGGTGGAGGTGTAGTAGGCAGGGGAGGTGGGAAGAGAGGGTGGCTGAGATCCCAGGACTGTCGCCCTCTGATTTGTTCCTGAGTCTTTGTCTCAGAAGCTGTCCCTTCACGTGGAGTTCACAGCACAACTCTTCCAGGGGAGACGTTTCCGAATTCTTACGGTAAACTGAAAGAGCTATTGCTGAGCACTTGGTATGGCATTAAAAACAAGTGTTTGGGGCGCCTGGGTGGCTCAGTCGTTCAGCGTCTGCCTTCGGCTCAGGTCATGATCCCGGGGTCCTGGGATCGAGCCCCACATCGGGCTCCCTGCTCCGCGGGAAGCCTGCTTCCCCCTCTCCCACTCCCCCTGCTTGTGTTCCCTCTCTCGGTGTCTCTCTGCCAAATAAATAAATAATAAAAAAAAAATCTTAAAAAAAACTCCCAATATTCAATCTTTAAAAAACAAAAACAAAAACAAGTGTTTGTTTTAAAGAAGGCATTTTTCCAGCTTGTGATAAGCAACTTTGGACGTTGCTGGCCAGTGACCTGAGGGAGATTTTTGTTTCATTTGGCCCTTGTGACGACGGATGCTGCTCATAGGTGACAAGCAGGGCCCAACATGCCTGAGCTGAGATTCCTACATGGCACTTGGCTGGTCTGCCCCAGCAGTTTACCTGAGATCCAGGCTTGAACCCCAGAATTAAACATTGCTGTTTCGTGTCATGGAACTCCATCTCATCAATAGTTGACACTCTGAACGCTGTATTTGGGGATGTTGTTCATTGTTCCTAAAGCATCTATGGAGTTTAAGATTTAAGCTTTCTTTTTTTTTTGTACAGCTCAGCATACTCTGAAAAATCCTTAAAGTTCATTATACCCACCTAACTATGTTTATTCCAAGGGCTCAAAGTCACTCTTTTATTTTCCTTTTTTATTTTCATTTCTTCATCTTCCTGTTGGAAGCTTTAGTAAGAGGAGCCATTACATGTTAAATAGCTTATTTTTTTTTTTTTACAGTTTCTAAATTTTGGATGATACCTACCTTTCTAATGTCATCAAGATGGTGCCTGGGTGGCTCAGTTGGTTAAGCTACTGCCTTCTGCTCAGGTCATGATCCTGAGGTCCCAGGATCGAGTCCCGCATCAGACTCCCTGCTTGGCAGGGAGTCTGCCTCTCCCTCTGACCCTTCCCCCTCTCATACTTTCTCTCTCTCTCTCATTCTCTCTCTCTCAAATAAATAAATAAAATCTTTAAAAATACATAATGTCATCAAGGAACTAGTTTAAGCCAATTCGAAACTTGTAATAATTGGTGGATAATTACCCATTATGGTTTCTTTGGAAGTTCTTGTATGTTGCGTTGTCAGTCAACAAAACAAATAATATATCTGGATATCCTGCAGGATTTCATATATTTTACACATGCTGTGCTTACAGCGAGTTTTGTTTCTCCTGCTAATTATTGCTTATTTGAACGTTGTTGTTTATTAAATATCCCAAACAAAATTCAGACATACTCATTCTTAATCTAGGAGAATAGAGAAATGATACATATATAATATTTGAAGAGGATGTTATTTTCTAATAATTTCTAATAAGAGATTAAGTTGTGTAAAAATTTGTAATAGAAAATATTAAGATATACTGGAAGAGTTACCTCTCTGTAAAATGATCAAATATGTCTATATCTAAAAATTAGTAAAAGCAAAAGGAAAATAGTATCTAGGGAAGTATTCAGCAGATAGATATGTCCATGAGGTATTTTTATTAGAGGATGATTCATGTAAATTGATAAGTGGGCGGACTTCAGAGCATGAATGGGCAAAGGACAGGAAGAATGAATTCACAGAAGGAATATTTGTGTGGGGTGTGTATCACATGAAAGTAAAAATATGAAAAATGCCCAGTTTTGAAAACTACTAAAGAAATGTACATTAAAACCATGGCGAGACACCATTTCTGTCTTATATCTTTTCATAGTAATGTAGCGCGTGACAACATTAGTATCCAGTTTCTTGCTCTGTACAGTGGGCATAATGTGTTAGTACTTACCTCCTGTGGTTGTTTTGAGGATTGCAGAAGATAACAGAATGTGAAGGGCTCAAAATAGTGCCTGGCATGTTGTAAACTTTCAATGAACGTCAGCTACAATTATTATATTTTCAGTGGTGGCATAAATCACTAAACATTTGGAAAGCAGTTGGGAATGACTTACTGAGCTTTGGATTTGGGATTCCACTTTTATTTTTATTTTTTTATTTTTTGGATTCCACTTTTGAGAATCTAGGATTCTCCTCCCCAAAGAAATCCAAATACTGGGGAAAACCTACAAGTGCAAAGATATTTATTAGAGCATTATTCATAATAGCGAACAATTGTGAGCCTTCTAAACGCCTAGTAATAAGGGAATCAGTAAGTAAATTATGCATCTGTTTATTTATTATTAATTACTTAATTTCATTTGTTTTTTTTTTAATTCCAGTATACTTAATATATAGTGTTATATTAGTTTCAGGCATACAATAAAGTGATGCAGTATTTCTGTACATTACTCAGTGCTCATCATGGTAAGTGTAACTCTTAAGCTCCTTCACCTACTTCACCCATCCCCCTACCTCCTTTCTCTGCTAAGCATCTGTTTGTTCTCTGTAGTTAAGAATTGGTTATTTTGTTTGTCTCTTTTTTTCTTTGTTCATGTGTTTTGTTTCTTAAATTCCACATGAGTTAAATTATATGATATTTGTCTTCCTCTGACTGACTTATTTCACTTAGCATTATACCCTCTAGCTCTATCCACGTCATTGCAAATGGCAAGATTTCACTCTTTTTTATGGCTGAGTAATATTCCATTGTACACACACACCACCTCTTCTTTATCCATTCATCTATGGATGGATACTTGGGTTGCTTTCATAATTTGGCTATTGTAAATAATGCTGCTATAAACATAGAGGTGCATATATCTTTTTGCATTAGTGTTTTCATTTCTTTGAGTAAATGCCACTAGTGAAATAACTGGATTGTAGGGTAGTTCTATTTTTAATTTTTCGAGGAAACTCCCTACTGTTTTCCAGAGTGGCTGCAGCAGTTTGCTTTCCAAGCAGTAGTGCATGAGGGTTCCTTTTTGCTCTGCCTCCTCGCCAACACCTGTTGCTGCTTGTTTTTTTTTAAGGATTTTATTTATTTATTTGACAGAGAGAGAGCACAAGCAGAGGGAGAAGCAGGCTCCCCGCTGAGCAAGAAGCCCGATGTGGGACTCAATCCCAGGACCCTGGGATCATGACCTGAGCAGAAGGCAGACGCTTAACCGACTGAGCCACCCAGGCGCCCCGCTTCTTGTTTTTTTTGACTTTAGCCATTCTGACAGGTGTGAGGTGATATCTCATTGTAGTTTTGATTTGCATTTTTCTGATGATGAGTGATGTTGAGCATATTTGCTTGTGTCTGTTGGCCATCTGGATATCTTCTTTGGAGAAGTGTCTATTCACGTCTTCTGCCCATTTTTAAATGGATTATTTGTGTTTTCTTTTTGTTTTTGGTATTGAGTTGTATCAGTTCTTTATATATTTATTGGATATGTCACTTGCAAATATTTTTCCCCATTTCATAGGTTGCCTTTTTGTTTTGTTTTTTTGTTTTTATTTATTTATTTAGTTCAGTTAGCCAGCATATAGTACCTCATTAGTTTTTGATATAGTGTTCAGTGATTCATTAGTTGCATATAACACCCTCCTTTGCTGTGCAAAAGCTTTCTTATTTTGATGTAGTCCCAATAGTTTATTTTTGCTTTTGTTGCCCTTGCCTCAGGAGACATATCTAGAAAAATGCTGTTATGAATGATGTCAGAGAAGTTACTGCCTGTGCTTTCTTCTAGGATTTTTATGGTTTCAGATCTCACGCTTAGGTGTTTAATCTATTCTCAGTTTTATTTTTGTGTGTGGTATAAGAAAGTGGTCCAGTTTCATTCTTTTGCATGCTGCTGTCCAGTTTTCCCAACACCATTTGCCGAAGAGACTTTTTTTTCTCATTGCATGTCCTTGCTTCCTTTGTTAAAGATTAGTTGACCATATAATTGTGGATTTATTTCCTGGCTCTCTGTTTTGTACCAGGGATCTATGTGTCTCTTTGTGCCAGTACCACACTGTTTTGATTGCTACAGTTCTGTAGTAAATCTTGAAATCTGGGATTGTGATATCTCCAGTTTTGTTCTTCTTTTCCAAGATTGCTTTGGCTATTTAGGGTCTTTTGTGGTTCCATACAAATTTTAGGATTATTTGTTCTAGTCTGTGAAAAATGCTGTTGGTGTTTTGATAGGGATTGCATTAAACATATAGAATGCTTTGGGTAGTATGGACATTTTAGCAATATTCTCCCAGTCCATGAGCATGGAATATCTTTCATTTGTTTGTGTCATCTTCAGTTTCTTCCATCAGTTTTTTATGGTTTTCAGAATACAGGACATTGACCTCTTTGGTTAAGTTTATTTCTAGGTATTTTATTATTTTTGGTGCAATTGTAAATGGAATTGTTTTCTTAATTTCTCTTTCTGATACTTCAATGTTAGTATATAGAAATGCAGCAGGTTTCTGTATATTGATTTTGTATCCTGTGACCTTACTGATTCATTTATCAGTTCTAGTAGTTTTTTGGTGGAGTCTTTTGGGTTTTCTATATATAGTATCATATCTCTGCAAATAGTGAAAGTTTTACTTCTTCCTTACCAATCTGAATGCCTTTTATTTCTTTTTGTTGTATAATTGCTGTGGCTAGGACTTCCAGTACTATGTTGAATAAAAGTGGTGATTGGACTTCCTTATCTTGTTCCTCCTGATCTTAAGGGAAAATCTCTGTTTTTCACCGTTGAGTATGAT